ATATATCGTGTACCACAAATAAGAGGAAGCTTTCTTGACTTTTTATACAGTTTTTGAATGAAACATTTCTCATTATCCGTTTTTTGTAGCTATAAACATAAAAGCAAAATTTGGGAAAGGTATTTTTTTTATCTCTTTAGAAATTCAATAAAAAGAAAAACGAAGAAATAGAAATTTAGAAGAAAATTATCAATCTCTGACCTGTGGAATTTACGTATATTATTTTTCTGCCTTGAGGGCTAAATAAGTTGATTGGAATTTCGTCTTGTTATACAAAGTGGTCCACCATAAATAAATACACTTAACGCTAAAACTGATTTGTTTTTCTTAAAATATTCAGCAGCTGATGCATTTATTGATATTAATGTATCGAAGTTTAACTATATGAACATTTTTATAACTGTTCTATTATTTTTCTTAAAGTGACGTAGCCTGAATAATTTTCTCTTTATTTTCCACTCCGTTCATAGCCGAAACAGTTTCGCTTTTTTAAAATAAATCATATATTGGAGTAAAAATGGCCACACTAATCGGAGGCGTTGAATTTGACGCCAAAGAAATGCATTCCAATGATGTCTCTCTTAAATTATTTCCAATGATGTCTTTCTTTTAAATTATTTCCATGGTTTTTTTTAAAATATATATTGTTAATGATTGAATAATTATCTTTTCGTAAATATTTATTCATTTTAATAACTTTAACAAAATATTGCAATGAAATTTCATGAATACGAATTGATCCTTATTTTATGAAGTTTACAAAAAAAAGATTTTTTTATCTGTCCTTTGCGTCTTTCCATCTCAAAAATCTATCAATTATTTATCTATCTATCTTATCTATCTATCTATCTATCTATCTATCTATCTTTCTTTCTTTCAGTGAAACCAAATAACGCCTCTGATATATCTTTTCCGTCTTTTTACGCAATCAAAACGGAATAGTTCATTATTTCTCAGGTGTTGACAGGGCTTAGCTGTCGTTCTAATTAAGGGAGGGACAAGCAGAATTATAAGATATTATCTTTATTTATGTTGGAAAGCACAGTTACGCATAGAAGCATACACGCATAAACACATATTTTTTCACTAGATGCCGGAGTAAACAGTACATCAACAAATATATCACATTATTATTATTATTATTATTATTATTATTATTATTATTATTATTTTAGAAACCAAACAATAAGAAAATAAGAAAAGTAAAAAATTAACATTATATATATATATATATATATATATGAACACTTTTTTTATTATTGTTGTTCTTAAAAATATTTGAAAGATAAATAATAGAAGACGAAATTGACTTTTCTGATGTTAGCCAATTGTAAACAAAATGAGTTTTCTTACAAATCTGAAAATACGTTTACGATAATAAAAATGTTACAGTAGCACAATCAATAAATAAGAAAAGAATAAAATTATCAGAAAATATTGTTAAAAATGTTTGAATAATAAATGACAGGGAAAGAAAACAAAGATACTGAACAAATAGTCAAACAAAGCATTACGACTCAAAATGTGTTTGTACAATTTCGAAAATTACGTCCTCTTTCATAAAAAGAGAAATGTTACGCCTCAATATTATAGAATAGAATTATTCATGCCAATGCATAAGTAATTCAACAAATACAGTGTATTAAATGTTCTTAATATAACAATTTTTAATAATAGATATTTTTAATTAAGTAAACCTGCTAAAAAACTTAAGAAAATCAAATCAATGTACCCTTAGACTTATCTTGAAATTAAACAAGTATGTGTTTTAATAGTTTAATTGTAAATGCATAATAAATATAACAAAAACTATAGAATAATAAACATAGAAATACATAAGATTTAATAGATAATTAAAATATTCAGGACTTCACTTTTAAAATACGACACCCCTTTCCTTGATAAATGAAAAACGCAACGTTCATTCTGACACCATCGTCACTATTTCATGTCTGATGGTCACTCCTTATTGTGGTGGAGGGGCTTGCGTTGTTCAATGACTGAGAAAAATTCCGTCAGGAGTTCTAAACTGCTGGTAGAACCACCCTTGGCAGCAATGTCGAAGACGAGGACCCAGACTAAGTGCAACAACCCCAAAACCCCAACGGTGGAACAAACGGATAATGATTACAGCAGACCTCAACGGTTGAACCAGCAGATGAAGAGGGGTACGCATGAAGGACAAGCTACAGTAGGCGCCACTAGAAATTATAACAGTCAGCGGCAGTTTCTTGCAGTTTAATAACTAAATACTGTGTGTCTCATTCCATATGCACCGAAGAGGAAGGTCGTGAATACAAGTGTATGGGTTACTTCCTGATAAGTTGAGATCAATCTTAGGTAAATTCACGCCATCTGCTCTTTTTTTTGTAATGTAATTTTCTTTCACCCTAACCAATTCTTGCAAAGCCAAACGGCGATGGATGACGGTAGCAAGTTTTGGTGAAACTGGAAGCTTCTAGTCTCGAACCTGCCCGTTGGCGGCAAATTTAGTCATCAAATTCATCGCCATAAAGGAAGCGTCCACCAAAGACGAAATAAAATTCTTGAGTACAAGATAAAGCCGACGATGACACACGGTTAAAGCATTTCATGAAGAGATCTCTAATTAAGTCGGTACGTTTATGGCCATCAAGAGAAGTTTTTAACGTAAAATCTTTGGTTCCACATGGAAAGCTCTCCCTTTTCTGGATAAATTTATACTTAGGAATAAAAATTAACGTTTGAAATCGTTCGGTTTTCTTTATTAATATATAAAAAAAGTTCTTTGTTTGAAAAATAAGGATCACAGAACAATAACTGCCCTAAATTTTGTCATGACGAATAAAACCATTTGAAACTTACACAGAACAAATGAAATATATTGTTTTACTCTTTCGCAACTATTTGCTTACGATCAGTCATGTTGATTGATTTATCTGTATTTTTTATGGTTTATCAACCGTTTAAGGGTTATTTAAAGCCGAAACATATTTTGGATTATAAGAATAATTCTTTTGTTTTTTTACAGGGGAAGATCACATTAATAATTATTTTGGAGATAACAATAATACAAGTTTTACTATTTAGCACATAGATGGGGAGAATGCATAAGTTATGACAATAATAAAGTTTTCCTTATAAAAAATGATTGTAAATAAGCAATTTTTATTCATATATTTTATTTGTTTCATTTTGGTGTCAGAAGTTTTGTGAAATAATTTTAATTTTTTTTTAGTTGTATTCAGCAGATTAGCTTAACAAGTAATCGATTTGTTTTCATTATAACTAATCTTGAACTATTACACGGCGTTGACGTGTAGTTCAACTAGTAATTTTGTGTTACACTTTTCCTCGCATTTGATCGTCGCTATGAAACAGTTCGTAAGATGAAAAATTATCAAACAATTATCTTTATTTCAGTTGAGGAAACCTTTTAGCTTTTCCCGATCCAAAAAGACAAATTGTATGACAATGTCACTGTGATTGACTCGGGGAGAGTAATTGAATTTTTAAATGGTAACGAGATTCATAGTGTGGTTGCAGGTTGATTCAATTGTCTGTAAAGAAACGTATAAGATAAATGAACCTAAGTAGGTAAACATATTGACATAGAAGATAACATTATGTGGGGAAATGAAATAAAATCGACAAATAAAATAATAATGATGAATAATAAAAACAAAAAAAATAGATTTTCCCATGATGCAAAGAACCAGAAATATGATTACCACACCTGGTTTCGTCATACGCTGTTAGGTCTATAAAAAGCTAAACATTTTCTTGCCTCGTTCCCGAACACCACTTACGGCAGCAGAGCGTTGAAAACTGACAGTTCCGCTTGGGTACGTACTTTCCCCAGTCCACTGAAACCTGACTCTCTTTCCACTTTGCGACGCATGGTGTTAGCGCATGGCTTCCAAAACTTCTACCTTCTTTGGTTGTTCCACCTCAGCGCAAGGCTGACTCGAGCTCGACCCTCATAACGATGCTTGTCCTTACTTATCCTAAATTCTGGATCAAGAAGAAGAAAACGGACATCCTATAATCAGGTCTAAGCCTTCCAACGATAAAGTAATTATAAACGTTTCTTTGGTTGTTCTAACTCTGCGCAAGGCTGACTTGAACTCGGCTATTAATACGATGGTCATAATTACTTACAATAACTTCTGGACTACAATGAGAAGAGACATACCTAAGAACCGTTGAGAACTTTGTTTCACTACAGTTTATAAGAGGTCTGTCTGAAAAGTAACAGGACTGGTGTCAGAAATGATTTATTTCAATTCCAAACAACAAACTACATGGTTTCTCCTTGAAAGTGACCCCCGCCTCGAGGCACTTTTCCGTCCTTCTCTGCCACGCTTCTATGCACTGCTGGAAGGATTCGCCTTGTCGTTGTTACGGTACTCTTGATGACCTCCACGCCTTCAAAATGGTGCCCCTTGATGATCCTCTTCAGCTTGTGGAAAAAGAAAAATGTAAGAGTAAGGTGAATAGGGATGTATTTCTCGTCGCGAAACTGCCGTATACTGAGGTCGTTGTGAGCAGTTGCATTGTCGTTGTGAAGCAGCCACATTTGTCCTGCCACAACTTCCGCATATGAAAAAAATGCAATGGTTGCATAAAATTAAGATAACAGTTATATACTCCTAAGATATCATGTTAGATGATAACAAAATGCGCTTATCGTTCTTTCGTTCAGAGCCAGTCTCATTACTTTTCAGACTAACCTCGTCTAAAGAAGCAGAGTATATTGTTCGTGTAAGAAAACCCCGGTTTTTCTATGCTTATTTGTTTTGCACACATAAAAAAGAACAAAAATACGCACCCTTTTAACTTTTATAATTCCACCCCAACTAGAGTAACGACAAAACTCCATGGTCGATAATTCTCTCTCTAAGGCCTTATCGTGTTTCTGCTTTATATTAACGATCTGCCTCGGAATGTTCTCAGGCCATTAGTAAATATATATGTAGACACTACCACGCTTTATGAGTGCACCTCCAAAATCGAGATCATCAGAAGCTGACTTGTAACGGGGAAGAACTGGCTTGTAACGAGGGGGGTGACTTGTAAGGAGGAGGAAGTGACTTGTAACAGGGAGGAAGTGACTTGTAACGCGGAGGAAACTGACTTGTAACGTGGAGGAACTGACTTGTAACGGGGAGGAATTGAATTGTAACGGAGAGGAACTGAGTTGTAACAGGAAGGAAGTGACTTGTAACGGCGAGGATCTGACTTGTAACGAGGAGGAAGTGACATAACAGGGAGGAAGTGACTTGTAACGCAGAGGAAGTGACTTGTAACACGGAGTAACTGATTTGTAACCGGAAGGAAACTGACTTGTAACGTGGAGGAAGTGACTTGTAACGGTGAGGAATTGAATTGTAACGGGGAGGAACTGACTTGTAACCTCCAGTAACTCATAAACCATTCTAATAATATTTCATCATCACAGAGCAGATAATGAGTTTTCTTCAATCATAAAGAAAGGTTGTTCTCTCAATGAGGCTCCTTGCATAGAACTTCTATAGGGACTCAAGCTCATCCCAGAGAAAAAAAAAATCAAACCAAATTTAATATTTCGTTTGAGAACAGCGTTGTTTAATAAAGAATATTAAACAGCGATGTCTGATCAAATGTAACTAAATTCTCTTGCGTTTGTTTAGTTTGAATAATAAGCGATATAATCAGCAATAGCGTATTATTGTTAATGAGTTTTCGTATCAACTGAGACCTTTTTATCCTCAACTCATAGTCATATTATTACAGCGACGAATGTGCCGACAGTGTTATGGTTTCACCCGTCAGCAGAAACGTAGATAAATTCTTCAATATTTGTCAAATCGATTATATGCTGCATGTAACTCAATAAAGCGAGTTCATTTAATCTCAGGCTATATAATTTGTAAATGTATGAATTTAGTCTCTCCTCAAATTGATCGTGACAGAAGCTAAGAGAATAAAGAAAAGAAATGAGTCATTGTCTACGGAAAACATATGAACTTCGAACAAATTGAGAAATATTCCTTCTCCCTTTCTGGTATCAATTCGAAGCAAACAAACGGAAAAGAAATATCTGTAGTATTGTATATTCTATAGCAAAGGAATGGAATTCTTCAGGGCATATCAGCATTAGTTTGGCTTTCAGAAATGTTTACCTATAGAGAAACACTCAAAACATTCCCAGCATTGGCTTTCCGATCATTACAGACAATTTTAACAATTCGCAGTAAACGGAAGCTGTACGAAACACCAAATCTAATGAAGAATATTTATTCAGATTTATTAAAAATGAAGACGATCAACACGTTACTTATTCGGTTAAAATACAAATTAAAATTAAGAAATAATTTTAATTATATATATAATTATTTATTCGAAAATTATAACATAAAAATGTTATAAAATCACTACAAAAATAGCCATTTTGTTTTAACACTTCTGGCGTCTTATCAAGTGATGGTGTTGAATGTAGAATAAAGAATTTTAAAAGGTTCAAATCAATCAAACATCCCTCGCTAGGGGAAATGCTATTACATAAGCTGGAATGACCAATCAAAATACAAGTATACAAAAATTCAAAAAACATGACAAGCTTAAGTTAAAATAATTATTTAATGCTTTAATGTTAGGGTTAGACTAAAATTGAACTCATTCTAACTAATAGATATTAAATTATACTATAAAATTAAAAATTACCAATTTTAAATTTTAAATGTAATCTATATTAAGTTTAATATTATAAAATTATTTAAAGAAGAAACTGAGGAAAAAAATACATGTTTTTTATTTATTTTGTTTTATTGAAATTAAGTTGTAATAAACGTTAAGATCTAATGCTGCTCTGAACTCCGTTACAACTTAGATACATTTGAATGGAAGATATTTGCATGGGAGGTTGAAATCTTGCAATACACACACAATCAGATTATAATACACAAACACGTAAACATATTTAGATATATAAACACGCAAAAAAGCGACGAGACAGGAAATATGTCTACGGCCCTTAAAAAAAAATGAAAACATATACATACAATGAAAGGCACATATAAGCGATTATACATACATACATTGATAAAGAGGCGCGCACATACACACATACATTGAAAAGACAGGCACATATACCCACCAAGAAATATTCAAATTTGAAAGTTATATTAAACGAATTCTAACATAATACTAAAATATAACTTATACGGACAAAGATATATAGATAAAAATGGATGAATAGATAAGGTTTAATATGGGTAGAATAGAAAAACAAATATTCGTCAATGAACAACATAAGGAAAAAGGACACAAAAATATACATAAATGGATAGAGAAATAGATATATACGCATAAAAATAACACCATCTAATATAAAATAACTAATATATATATATATATATATATATATATATATATATATATATTATAAATTTACTCATGTAAAAATATGGTTCCATAGCTACAAATGAGTTACTATGTTTCAAAAACAGAAACTAAACACTTTAAATTTAATTATGGAATTAAATTAAAATCCTTAGTACTGTTTCATTTTCAAGCGATTTTTATATACATATATAAATCCACCTTATTTTAATTGCCAAATATAATTTTAAAATAAAAAAAAACACTGTCATCTCAGCATAACATAGAACTATGAGAACATTTTGACAACCAGATACATTATAATTCAAAATTATATAACAGCAACTTCATACTCAGCACATGAAGATTGTGTCGTGCATGAAACTCAGAGTCGGGCTGGCGGTGAGGGATAATATTAGTATATACATAATATCAGTGTTACATATTAGTGGAAATATACACATACATATGCAATCATATATTATGACCATGGAATATTAGTGTTTAAGCCTTTTTTTATTACATATATATATATATATATATATATATATATATATATATATATATATATATATATATATATTAATTTAAATGAAAACAGAGGACTTTTTAGCTCCATTGTAATAATTTATTTCACCAGAGAATTTTGTTTTCTCTGAATCTTCAGACTTCTCTATCAATAGAGTAGTAAATTGGTCTGTTTTCATTTAAATTAAATTATTCGCTCTTACTTAACATTGAACTGTCAGGATTTAATCCTCCTTTGGATTATCCTTACGGATTACCATGATTTTCGTTACTGATATATATATATATATATATATATATATATATATATATATATATATATATATTATAGAATATGATTAATGAATTTATTATTAATCCGACATTATTATTACTTCAAATATCCGCTGTAATAATGCTTGGAGTAATAAAAATACATATTAATGTAAAGTTTCAGATATAAATGTAAAGTTTCAGATATAAAAATGATTGTAATAACAATATGAATAAACTATTTACATTATTCGGACTATTGTCCTGCCATATTTATTACAAAGTTTCGGCTGTTGTGCGCTCCGGCCTTCTTCAGGTAGTTGGAATGTCGGACTGAACCCTTTTCTTCGCTCACTGGGGTAGACTGTTGCAGTTCCACGTGCCATGTTTAATGGATGTCAGTTATCTCCTGTTAATCGACCTCTCCAAACTTAAGGAATCAGCATATATGAAAGAGGAAAACCTTCTATACCAACGCGTTTCGTTCCTTGTCTTGATAAAGTTCGCCAAGAAACGAAAGACGTTGACACAAAAATCTTTTATTTTATTTAGAGATATTTCTCTATTTTGCATTTGGCTTAACCTTGCAACAAGAATCCCTTCTATACATTTTGATAACACATTCAGTCCTACTTTGAATATTTGAACTCTGAAATAAAGACATTTGTTTCTGTTAGAGATAACGTTAACTATTAATATGTAAATAAAATTAAAATATATTAAATTCCATCTATGAAAATCTAATGAAATTTTCATGTATTCAATTCTAAATAATAACGCTAATGTCTATCCTCGGCGCTGTCTTCTCGTTTGTTCCATTGTATCATGTGAGACGTTCATAAGCTAAGCTTGTTTTTGACATATATGTCAGCAACAACAGGAAACTTACACTTAACATCAGAAAGAAGCAGTAAAAATTTATATGGAATATAATGAGGAAAAGGGACTTGGAAAATTTGATACTCACAGGGCAGATTGAGGGAAAGAGGGAACGAGGAAAGCAGTGAGTAACATACTTGATGAGTTTAGTTACATGGATGGCAGAAAAGAGTTTGGGAGAAATAACAAAGAGAAAACTTATTAAGGGCTACAAGGGACCGGAATATGTGGGAGAGCCATGAACGGCAATGCCCTGAAGTGACATAAAAGAAGACGTCACGGAATGAACACAGTTGTGAGGCAAAAGGAATACAAACGTTTACCAAATGAATGCAGACATACAGACACACACTGAATGAATGCAGACTCACAGAATGAATGCAGAAACACAGAATGAATACAGACGCACAAATGCACACAGAATGAATACAGACGCACAGATAGTAACAGAATGAATACAGACGCACAGATAGTAACAGAATGAATACAGACGCACAGATGATACATACAGAATGAATACAGACGCACAAATGCATATAGAATGAATACAGACACAGATTCATACATAATGAATACAGACACACAGACACATACAGAATGAATAGAGACGCACAAATACATACAGAATGAATACAGACGCACAAATATATATATATAGAATGAATACAGACGCACAAATATATATAGAATGAATACAGACGCACAAATACATATAGAAGGAGTACAGGCGCACAAATACATACAGAATGAATAAAGACGCACAGATACATACAGAATGAATAAAGACGCACAGATACATATAGAATGAATGCAGACACACATGTAAACCGCATTTTAGTAAACGGGTAAATAAAATAGATCATTATAATCTTATAATCCTTTCCCTTTAAACTTCAAAGACATTCTTCTGTTCAATGAATTAAAAAAGTTCAAGTGATTTCATTTATTGAATATAAATTTAGTTACTTATTAAACGCTTTTTGGCAGAAGTTATGTGAGCCTGTAAAAAAAAAAAAACATAAAATTCTTGTAAATTTGACGTATGTTTTTCAGTTATATTACCATTATTATTACTATACATTATAATATAAAAATACTTTATAGAGGTGCAGAGTGGCGTAATGGTTAATAATAACAAAAACAGAATCAAAGAGCTACGGTTGCTTATGATCAGTCCAAATAAAGAGTTTCCTAAATTCATGAATAAACGTTTCCTTAGTCTATCCTATCTTCACATCTCTTGACAATAGGGTTCACCAAAATGGGTGTCCTAGAGTTGCCTAGGCAATTCTGAAGAATACTTTCTCTTGTTTTCCAGTTCATTTATATTTGGTTTCGAGTATCATTGGGTTTCATTTGTTAATATCATCCAAAGAAAGTCACCATCGCTGGAAACCATACCAAGGGGGTACCTTTTGATCGAGATTCGTTGGATAAAACTGAATCCGCCGATGATTATGTCGGCACGAAGTGTTAAGCTGCTGGAACTGTCAAGTGAACCTGATGTATTTGGAAGAAGATTAGAATAATCCAGAATTTATACTGGGAGCAAATCACCTGCATACGGATAGAAAGTAAATTCAGTAAATTTATAAAAAATGCAGTGTAAGTCAAGAATCTGTCTTCTCGACGGACTTATTTAAACTTTATAGTTAGGTGTTATGAGGGAATTAGAAGTCCTATCAGGATTTATTATTGGCAGTGACAGCTGCAATAACAGTGTTGATAGCAGATTTAGAGCCAAAAACACAGAAATTTCTACATTAGAAAAGCGAGAGGAAATGAATAATCATTGATTGAAAGAAGACATAATGCATGGTTATCATGAAAAGAGCCCGACATGCAAATTACAAATTGGAGATTACAAAATCAAATAAATATACCAATTGAAATATATAGAAAGTGTTTTAACAGAGGACGAAAAAGTTATCTTACAGGTTCACTTACTTTTGCGAAACACACACACACACTATATATATATATATATATATATATATATAAATTGTCATCCACAGACAGAATATTTCGCTGTATCACAGCTCATCAGTGTGGCTAGACGTCCGGTTGGATCTAGCTAGGAATGAAACCCGACTAAAATTGGCGTCAGTCGGGGAGTCTACGACTAAGCCGTTGGCGCACGGCAGGAATGAAGGTGAATTTAAGAGTATATACTTTTAGATAAACACACAGTGTATGTGTGTGTGTGTGTGTGTGTGTGTGTGTGTGTGTGTGTGTGTGTGTGTGTGAAATTGTGTATTAGCGCAGCGATCTCTCTTTTATACAAGTTTCATTAACGAATGACAAAGTAACTTAAACGTCAGTCGTTTTTAACGAAACATTAATTACCCAATCACAGAAAGGATAGTTTAGTGATTGGGTAACGCATGCACACCAAAGAGAAGGGACGCTGACATTTTAAATCTAATTTTTAAAAAAAAATTATTTGTGCTTTGGGAATATATTCTAGCAGATTTAATTTTTCCTTTTCCTTTTGATTTATTTAAGATCCTACTTAATAGTGTAATATTTAATACTCAAATTATTTCACATTCTAAACTTTTCCATTTAGACATTATATATATATATATATGCGTATATATTCAAGTTGTCCGTTATTTCCGTATGCGGGACTAACGGACAACTTGAAGGCCTATATAGGCTTAAACAAAATACAAGAACATCAATAAGAACAAAGAAAGAGAAAGACCCAAAGGCAGACACCTGCCTACTTAGTAAACTGCTTTATGTCTAGACTACCTACATAGAGCCAAAAATGCTTGACAACGTTAATTACTATGAAAGCATGACCCTAGTCGCAATTCAAGTTTTACGCTTACTCGGCCTTCGGACGACTTGGACGTTCAAATTTTCTGAAGATCGTATGAACTCGTGTTACGACTCAAGCCATCCTGTCATTCATATATATATATATATATATATATATATATATATATATATATATATATATATATATATATTTATAAGAGGATAGAATCCAGGTAAGAATATTATATTCTTACTCTGGACTGTATCCTCTTGGGAATGTATGTATATATATATATATATAGATAGATATAGATAGGTAGGTAGATAATATTAGTTGTAAATATACACATACATATGCAATCATATATCTAAAATATATATAAATATATATACATACATACATGCACATACATATATATTTGTATAAAAAATAAGTGCAAGAGGATAGAATCCAGGTAGAACTCAATGTCAGGACAGAGTAAGGATATAATAAAAAAGGCTTAAACACTAATATTCCATGGTCATAATTTATTCCATTGGAATCCTAAATACGATAAACAAATTCAAAAATTTATTTGTGTTTAAGGAATTTTTTATGGAATATATATATATATATATATATATATATATATATATATATATATATATATATATATATATATATATATATATGTGTGTGTGTGTGTTTCCATTAATTATATGCTAAAACCGAGAGATCGTCTAACGGAAAGTTTTATCAACGAAGAAAACAATAGTAACGCCGATAGCCGTTTCAGCTAATTATTAGAATCGCTTATCTTAAACGAAGAGGAAATCATTTGGCGTGTCAGATTTCTCGCAGCTTCAAAAAAAAAAAAAAAAATTATCGATTTTTGTCTCAATTGCATTTGCAAATTTTAATCGACCAATGTAATCAATGACTTTTAAATGCAACAAGTTCGTCAATACAGACAACCCACCAAGGTCAATATTGAGAAAATTGCTTTCTACGCCTTAGGGCAGCCTTTCAAAAACTAACTAAATAAAAAAAGAACACAAAAACAATGTGTAATGTTTGAATACGTGATCGTAATCGCTTGCCTAATCTTGGAAAATATAATTAGTTTAGTATTCTCAGTTGTATACAATGAATTTCGGAAGATTCGTGGGTGAAAATTTTAGGTCTTAGTGAAGTTATCGCTTGCTTCAAGGTGTTTGGATATTAAATCAAAATTACTCTTAAACACTCAGCTCTCCGCCTTCCCTTACAAATGAGCAGATGCAAAATAATTGCATTTAAATCAGTTATTTAATCTGTAGATGTCAATGTAAATAAAGCAAAGGACAGACCAATAAATAAGATAGCAAGCTTAAAGACAGATACAAAGAAAAACAATGAAAATACTTTTGAACGGAGATAATTACAAATATATTGAGTTTAATCCTCCCTGGTGGCCATAAACTTATAGCGGTTGAAATAAGAGACGCGATAATTATTTTAGAACTCATCGGCGTAGCGCCGTGGTTGTCAAGATAGTACATCTGACTATTAGTACTTTAAGTTGTTAGTCCGCACTAAGTCCTCACCAATTAATACCTTCTGTTACACTGAAACTATTTTATTACATGGGGCCTGACGAAGTTTGAAATCAGTTCATTCGAAAATACCCAACGAAATTATTCACACACTGACTATTATCTTCTTACTTTTCATCATCATAATATCTCTTGTCCTGGGTATGACAATGAGATACGTCAGATAGCAAGATCTCTGATCAGGTGATTGGAGTGTTTGAGCATCATGGAATTACCTCTTAATTCGTGTTGTGCCTTGGTCCACCCTAATCCGAGCTCGTAGCACCTGGGTCTCAGTTATGAGCAAATACTGAACCCCTAAACAAAACACTATGAAAGTATAAAAATATCGGCACTGATTTTTTATATATAATTTACCATTTATAGTAGAATTATCAACAATAGATTTTATAGTAAAATGACTAACAATGCATTCTATCTGTAGTTGATTGAAGACATTTGCGTTCAAAATATATTTTGTTGAAGCCATCAAATGGTGTTCAAAATATTTACATTTCGGCATTGAATAACCCATAGAGGTGTTGATATGCCGCTAAAAAATCGACCAACTAATCATATCACGACCGATGCATCCTCTAGCCATTTGCAGATGTGGTTTACGATAACACACGCTGAAACACCGGTTCCCGAACGATCACCAAAGTTAAGCAACGTCGAGCATGGTCAGTACTTGGATGGGTGACCTCTTGGGAATACAGAGTTCTGTAAGGATGGATGTGTGGACGGTGTAATGGATAATGGCACGGAATTATTAATCAGAGAGCCGAGTTCCAATTCTAGTTGCTTACGCGAAGGGGATATGAAACCAGCTATGGGTCAATTAATAAGGCTTGTTTTACTAAAACCATTATTTTACCAAAAAAAAAATAAAATTGCATAATTTTGATTTCGGCATTGAATAACCCATATAGATGTTGATATGCCACCAGTCAAAAACAACCAAACCAAATTTTTCAGATGTGCAATCTTATGGACATTTCGAAACAAACACTTTATTCAATCTAAGAGGCATATTGTTCTCATTCTGCTTTTTATCCGAGAAAAAAAAATCAGTTATGAGTTAATTTGTTCAAGCTAATTCATCATTGGGATGTTTATTGTCTCTTTTACTGAAAATGACTTGTTCACACTAACCGAGTCGGGGAAAGTGAACTCTCAACATCCAGGTAATTAGATCCACTTAAATAACACTACTCTCAACTAGGATATATGTCCCAAAGATAAATGCTTCGAAGGCACACACACAGAGTGAAATTAGTAAATATAGTATGTATTTATGTATGTGTAAGTCCTATAGAGTCTTTTGCAGGATATATGTACACAGCATCATCAAGCTAGTGCCACAGCTTCCCCACGTTACGTTTACTGTTGTAAATAGGGTTTTACGCGGTGGAGTTACTAGTCACGTGGTCAACCTGTTTTGAATTCAGTTTTGTCCTTCTCATAGACTTCTTGCCAAACAGACTTACGGATATATCATGTTGAAACACCAGATCTTGTACGTCTACAAAAGTTAAGCAACATCAAGCCTGATCAGTACCTAGATGAGTGTTATATTCCCTTATGCAAAAATTCACTTGGGAAAGGTATGAATATATCTCTTTTACTCCTAGCTATGAGTTTGTTTCAAGAAATCCTATCAGTAAGAATAATTATTATATCCAAAGAATTCTTAAAATCTAAAATATTTTCTGACTTTAAACGACCTGCATTAGGTTTACATTTGTTAAAAACAAATAAATTGTTGCCAATCAAGGCTAGAGAGCTAAGTCTGTTTTACTATTAACTCCTAGGTGGATGGTGGGGAAGGAATGGATTCATATCTTTTGATGAATGCAAACGAAATGATCTCGGCTGGAAATTGAACTCACCACGCCAATTCCAATTTAGGTGCCGACATTCGATTATAAAGGTAGTAATTGGGGAAAAAAACCATCATTATTAATTTTGTTTATTTTTCCTTATATTATGCGTAGTGTTATTTATCGCAACTATCAGGTCGTTTTACATTCTACGATCGTTAAGCAAGGGGGGATGAGTTGCTTTCGATTTAGAGGTAACATCACGTGGCTGTCGATTTAATGCTAGTCAATTAGGCTACGAAACCTAAACAGCAGACGTCATAGCGAGCATAACGATAATCTACGACAAATCTGTATATGTCACACTTGTTAACATAGATATCAGTTTCACATGTTTTTCTTTTGAAATCGAACAGTATATGCCTCCACCCTTACGAATCCACTACCAGCTTGCACCACATCACAATCACATTCAAGCTCCTCAACACACGAAGACGACGGAGCTGAAAATATGAATCGTCTGATATGGCCCCAGTCTTCAACTGTTTAATAGCAATGTTTCCTGACCCAAGTGAGACAATAACCAATTCTATGGTAACAATAAATGGTAAACTTAGTCGACGAGGAAGAAACCTTATTGGATGAAATATACGCTGTACGATGCGTTGAAATATAGGGTTAGTTGCACCAGTTTTGAAATGTAAATCAATTTGTGATAATGTTGTTCTTCACTATGTAATCCCTTATTAGACACTGACGGTTCGTTCGTGCTTCCCATTCGGACGCTTGCAGTTTTTCACGTGTCGTCTATCCCTGTCAGAAATTCACGTATTCCTGGTCTACACTTATCCTAAAGCAGGTGTCATATATTTCTGTCTCCAACAATCATTCCTTGATAAAACGGTGTTAAATGTTATCCACTGACACAACTACACTATCTCTACTTATTACGTCATATATAATTAATCCATATCTTTAAGAAGAAGAAGAAGAAGAAAATTCCAAAACGATCCATAGTATTACTGTTTCTAATTCTATGCCACCTGTGTTTAGATACACAAAATAAGAGGATTCCCTTCATGGAGAAATCTTTTCTGTTTTTTTTTTCACGTCTATCTACATTCTCTCAAAGCATACAAAACATACGTCTCTCTGCATGAACAATATATTTTACTAAAACAATGGGAAAACAAAATCTTTCCTTAATACAATAACTGAACATTGCAGAATTCAGTAAATCAATACAGTTTCTCCAAGAGAAAAAAATTGACTTCTTTCACAAAATATATCTGGAACCAATCCTCAAACAATAGAAGTGATCAATAACAAATGACATATTTGACGATCGGGAAAAAGAAATCTGGGGTGGTTTTTACTATAACATTTAATTTCTATCTTTTGTCTTTATCGATGTCAATATTGGACGCCTAGCAGATATTTAAAGTTAATCTCAAAAACCATTAACACTGATACTGATGTGATTCTCATTGAGTGCCCACACACTACTCATCAGAATAAGCTAAATTTAAGAAATAATGTCAGTGAAATATTTAAAGATTTTTTTTCAAAAGATGACTATTTTTTCATATCTGCTTTACTTACTTTAGTGTGGCATAAGTCTACCTTAGTAAAAAATAATAGTAGTAGTATAGTAGTAGTATAGCTGGCCACTCATATTCGAGGATACCTCTCTACTAGGATAGCTAGCCAATCTCTATTGAAGACGCTTGCTCAGGCGCATTTGTGTTTGTTCAACACCCCTACCTGTGGTTTATACTGCAACTCTGCTGAGCAGACCTTAGTTACAGTTTCTGGGAAAGAGCGTGTTATCTCGCGTGATCAACAATTTGAACAAGGCCAGCACGTTCAAGTCCTCGGTGACGATGACTTTTAACTTCGTTCTAGCACAGCTATCGACGGCACCCAAGGTTCTGTCTACCCAATTTCACTCACAAGGCTTGGGTCAAGCCGTGGTAATGGTTTTCAGGCTTTTTCCAAAGGTGCTGGGATCGACCCCTCCAGTCACCCTACTGACAAATCGACTATGATGATGAGATTCGAACCCGGGTCTCATGGTCAGAATGCGAACATTCTAACCACTCGGCTACGTATCCATCATTTTTTTTCTTTTTTTTTCCGTAAAAATAAAGGTGAGGATGATTGTGTAGAGACAATTGTCTAAGTAGGAAATCATCTCAGCTTAGAAAATCAACATTCAAAATTACCTGAGATCGAAGTATACCGATGGGAAAAGCACAACTGTTTAATCCATCAGCTCCCCTAAAAGACGATTGTTTCCTTTTCTGCTGCCGGTTCCGGTTCTTCAGAGAAAATAATATTCCGAGATGACGATCCACACTCCCCATGGTCATGATATGATGAATTATTTATGAACTAATGCTGTAATATTGATGTGGAGACTGTTTCACATTCACACAGGGGATTACTTGTCTCATCTCTGCTTACTTAATAGAGATATCGTGTAAATTAACCAGAAATCAGCTCCACCCCCCAGCTATAAATAAAATATTAAGATAGACAGGATTATCTAACCTGGGTACAAGAAGCAGTCAAGGAGAAAGACAATTCTGAATTGAAAACCGTGGAGGTTAGCAAAGGGATATCATTCTTTCAAAAGGACAATCACAGCAAAGAAGATTTTACAATTATTGAAAAAAAAGTGTTATATAGGAATAAAGTGTCGCTGCCGACACTTGAGTTTGAACATAGATCGTCAGTGAGCAAACATAGGCGATCCCATTATTGAATTAACTAGACCACGTGACCATAGAGGAAATGCATATCTGGGTGGCAGCGTGTGTCTAATTGATCGACATTTCTAGTCTATCCTCTATACTATTCACTATTCAGATCACTATAGGGGTTACTATTCGAGCGAGTATTATCGAGCAAGTACTATTAGTGCGAGTGTTATTCGAAGGTGTCTGACACTAGTATTTGTTCAGTGGTGTTACTATAGTTGTATTGGCGATTACAAAAATCTCTACTACAACGAACATTACGAAAGTGACAATGAATATTCGTTGACATCACAAAGTGACAACGGGTGTTCATTTGAGTGTTAATTTAATGAGGGCTATTTATTTTGTATCATATCTTCTAGAGTTTTGAGTTTTCCTTGAATTGGGTGCTGTTATCTTCTAGTATTTGTCTTATGTTGATTACTGCACTCTGGCCATTCATGGTATGCTAGTCAATGCGTGCACAGGCTGCATTGAGCTTCGACATATGCATGTCTGCCCAATGTATTTAATGTCGTTTTTGATTATTAGTATTGGAGAATGCAATACTCCGAAAATTGGAAAAATACAATAAGTTAAACAGTTCTTGAAACGCACGTGATTGTTGGTTGAGTTTTATCCTCTATTACTATACTGATCGTCATTTCTAATCTATCCTCTATTACTATACGGATCGGTATTCTCTACTCTATTCACTATACTATTTCTCTATTCAGATCACTATACATTACTATTCTGGTTACTATTCGGTGCTTACTATTCGAGCGAATATTATCGAGCAAGTACTATTAGTGCGAGTGTTATTCGAAAGCATCTGACACCAGTATTTGTTCAACGGCGTTACTATAATTGCATCTGCAATTACAAAGTCTCTACTACAGCGGGCATTACAAAAATGACAACGAGTTTTCGTTGACATCACAAAAGTGCCAAATAGTGTTCGTTGACATCACAAAAAAGGAAGATATAGAAAGCTATGGTCACTTAGATGTCCAAAAAAGATAGAATTAAGGAGTTTTTGTATTCGGATTTATAACAGAATTTAATGCATAAAGAGCATCACTTTGCATCTGTTTGCCTTCTTAATAACCATGCTGTATAGGTTGATAAAAGAAATTATTGTTGCATGTATTTATTTCGT